AAGACTGTATGGACAGTGAAAAAACAAATATATTTTATTAAAATAGATCTCTGGTTTTACTGAGCTCTCATATGAGAATTGATTTAGATTAGAAAATACACTTTTTTAACACAGGTCCAGCTGCTTGTATTGCTTGGCAATTAGTTGATGATAGAGATTAGTAAAATTTTCTGTTAAAGATTTAATTTGTGAAAAATCTGAATTTATTTTTCACCAATGCAGTTCATGGACTTCCATAGCTGAGATTGATATCAATTCATCCCTTTTTGTTCTTTGATGTATACTAATAACTAATAAATTATCTCATTATGTAACACCACTACCTTCAAACATTTTTTATTTTTATTTAGGTCATATCCTAATGGGAGTTATTAAAATAAAATCTAGTTTTTTAAAGTAATGTGTGTCATTTGTGATTTTTTTCTCTGGAACAAGTGTGCAAAAAAAAAAAAAAAAAAAAATTGAATCATATTGGGTAGAAAAATTCAGGATAGATTTTTAAGCCATAAAAATAAAATGTATCTGGTTAGACAAAGAAATAAATTATGATAAATACAAAAACAGAAGCAATTTGTAAAAGACGTGAAAAAAAGGACATGAACACATATTCATACTGATTGCAGAATCCTTATTATTTCATCTTCCTTTATATTCTGGCATATTTGAGTTCAGCTACTTCTCTTCGATAGAGTAAATGTTGTTGAATCTTCCATTTCTTGCTTTAGTTGATCTGTAACATCTTCTTAACAGGAGCATTTAATACAGACCATGAACTAAGTGACAAGTGTTATTTATTTTATGAGTGAGGGAGGGAAAACTCTGAATTTCTTCAAGTGTGAGGAGTCGGCAGCCAACAACCTTTAACTACAGTAATTACCCACTTTTCTCTGGAAAGATGGAGTACTAATAAAAGGAGAACAGGATTTTCTGGGATCATGATTAGATGTTATTTTTTATAATCATTCTCTGGAATTATATGTGATAATGCACCTTTATTACTTCATCCAATAACAATTTAAAAGACATTAAGAATAAAATGCTTTTAAACAATTGCAAACCCTGATATGATGTTATTATAAGATTGTAAGCCACTGGTAGGTTGGGTTACAGCATTAATTTAAACATGGACACTCCCGTATATATATTTAAATAGACCATCTAAATATCACTGCTTTCTTCTGTAAGATGATAATAAAAATCCAAAAAATTCATCCAAGATATCATGAAAAAAAGTGGATTTCTTTGGATCTGCTTATTCCTTTTGGTACTACTTCCAGATGTCTGAAGGTTCCATGTTTATCTATTTAAATAATTATACTCAGTTTAAAAAGAAATGGAATTTCAGGCCATATTATTCAGAAATAAGAGAGATTCTGCCCACGAAAAAACATTTTTAGTTTAAAATGTACGAATCAACCTGAAAAGAAGCTAAACACCTAAGATACTAGCTGAAGCTGGTAAGAGAACATTTTTATGCAACGTAGAACAAGTAATGCACACAGAAGAGCCTCTAAGCAAGGAGGAATCTGTTACAAAACAATATAAAAATACAGTTATAAGTTTTGATTAAAAAAAAAAGTTAAAGACATCACTATTGTTACAGCCTCACCATTCGTGGCCATTTTCCTTATAGCAAAGTAGCGTGGAGGCCCCTGGAACCGAAATGTGACACAAAAGCCACAGAATCAGTGAAAAGATGCTCTTCTGCTTTCTGGTTAACTAACAGTTGGTGATCAGCTAGATTCTGCTTTCTCTTAGGATGCCACTGGATCCTCTAAGTAATTCAAAAATACATATCTTGTGAAGTCTCACTGTATCACTTCTCCATTACCCAAAATGGAAAAAATCTACAAATGTCTGACCATCTTTAAAGAAAGGATGCACAAAGTTCAGATCTTTAAGCACTGAAATCACAGTTAAAGGTTGAATTAGAAGGTCCTCAAATTACAAAATAGTCAGGATTTAAATATTTGACTAAATTTATTGGATATTCAAGTTTGATTGGTTATTGTTGTTAATGTATAAATAAAAATCAACATCTAATGTTATATATTTACAACATTCTGGCACCCCCTTCTGACTGTTCATTGTACTGCACGTCAAATAAATAAAATGTACCTTCTGAAACAGACTTAGCTTCTCGCTATTAATCAAGTCATCCTTTTGAAGCAATGTTTACAGGCTTACATTTCTGACAAAGGTTAAAAGTAAAATGGTAATTTCTTTGATTTTGCATTTTACTTTTATAAAGATTTCTCCTGATTTACCTACTTTGCCCAAGTTTAAAGTCCTCCAAACAATAAATCATATCTACTTCTCCAGCATTTTTAATAAAACAAAACAGTCTATTAAAAGTAAGCCAAATGTTAAAATCAAATGAAATAAAATTTATTTAGAATGTTCTAAAAACAATCTAACAGGGAAAAAAAAGATATCAAAACTTCCCTTATGACGGTTCTAATTCATTTGAGCTTTAATCGACGTTTCTATATAATTCTAGCTTAAATTGACAAGTTAATTGATAAATTGATTAATTAATACATTTTTTATTGCTTTAATTAAAAACAATAAGTTTAAGTTATTAACAATCTGAGAAGGATGGGTGGAAAAAAGAACGTCGTCATAAGCAACAACTGGTTAGAAAGGCTTTTATTGATAAGTGCAATAAAAGTGTGGGAAATATTTTACAATACTGTCCACTATGATGTTTATCAACAATTATATCATTTGTACCATTATGAAATAATATTTATATATTTAATTTGTTTTCTAAATCTAGCAACAGACACCTAAGGCACCTATAGGCTTAATAAACATTTGCTATTGTCCATAAACAGCATCATTATAATAAAAAGGTCCTGATTTCTCCTGATCACTTGTCCTTCCTTTTTTCTGGTGACCAGTAACCTGTAGGAATACAATAACCATGATTAATAAATATCCCCACTTCTGCTTGCTTGATGCTAAATCAGAGACAGCATCATCAGTCACACTGTTTCTCCACATGAATCTCCAGCTGTACCTCCTCCTACACACCTGGGCCAGGAGGAGGACAGGAGGACATGAGAGCTCCTGCTCAGAGCTTAGCAGATTTAGAGGAGGCTATACCCAACAGCGCAGAGATGTCATTGGCCGAGGTCAACCACGCCCCGCCATCCGCCACCAGGACGGCCCCGGTCATGTAAGAAGAGGCTCGACTGGCCAGGAAAAGAGTGCAGTGGGCCATCTCTGTCTTGTTGCCAGCTCGCTGCAGAGGAATGGACTGGAAAGAACCTGCAGCCTCTGCACCAGAACCACCTGGGCATTCAGTAAAACATTAAAAGACAGTCATAAAATCCCTTCACAAATAATATTTCAATGTAGGGCCTTTAAAACTCACTATGATTGAGAAAAATGTATATAAAAGTTTTCAATATTTACCAAGTCGCCGAAAACCCTCAGTACCAGAGATTGGTCCTGGGGCCACAGCATTGACCCTAACTCCACTGGGCCCCCACTCTACAGCCAAGTGTTTGGTCATGGCATCTAAAACACCAGATAAGCAACATCTAGTAATCTGTGTCTGATTTTTAAATAAAAAAAGAAAGGGATATCAAAGAACAGCTCTCACCATTTGCAGCTTTAGCAGAGCCAGCATGCACCTGAAGGGCCTGTCCTCGGTACGCCAGCGTGGCAGAGATGTTGACTATGTTACCTCCATGATCCTACACACAGAGGAAAGCATGTCTAACATCACATCAGGGGATCTTCAACTCTTAATCTAATGGTGGCAAAACATTCAATAATTCAAACTATCTACTGCCCTCTATTGGTGAGAGTGAGAAGTTCATGGAGTCTACCTCAATGACAGTATTCAGTAGCATCAAGCAGCAACCTTTGCTGAGATTACCGGTGAGTGAAGATAGAAAAAAAACAGTGGAAAAAAACTAAAATTACATTTAAAAAACAAAAACAAAATAGAAAAAAGGCTAAAAGAAAACAATATTTAAATAACCGCCTTTTCCAAACTATGCAACAGAAAACTGCTGTTTGTAAACTATTGTGATCACAGAAGGTTGCCTGTCAATTACTGCATTGTAAAAGCTTTTATTTTAATTTATGCATTTATTAGGGCAGATTCTGACAGATAGACCAGAATAATGTGTTAATAGATTCTTATTTCTCCTCATGGTTATTTACGGCACCTGTTATTTTTACCCAGTCTATCTGCTGTGAACCTCATTGAACATTTATATCAGGAGCTCTTACAGTATGTAAGAGGGAAATATTTTTAAAACAAGGCTTTACAAATAATTAAAAACAAAAATAAATATAATACCTAGTAAAGGGCGGACATTTCAGACTGTTGTCAGCATCCTATATAAGAGATTAGCATGTATGGAGAATATTTCCATACCTTAACTTTGACATTTTCACTTTAAAGCTGCAAAAATTTAATACACTTTAAAAATATAAAACAAGAGAACTCTGCTTTAGGGCTGAAACAATTAATCGAATTAATTATGATTAATCAATCATTAAAATAATACTCAACTAATAGAGTAATCTATTAATCGTTAACTGGAGTATAGAAACAAAAATATGCCTTTAGCTAACAGAGTGAGTAGTAACTATACAACAATTGTAAAAGAATTAAAAATAAATAAATATATTGCATTTAAGATGAAAAAAACATTTTCTTCTATGCAGAACTCAAGTAGAAATGTCTTTTGTTTTACCCGGTTTAATTTAGTAAAAAAAATCTTCTTTAAGGAACCTTTGGCTATCCGAATGTCAATCGAAAAAATTATCGTCAGATAACTCGATTTCCAAAATAATCTTTAGTTGCAGCCCTACTCTGCTTAGCCTTCCTGTTCCCTACTGAAAACCTTAATCTCTCATGCAGACTGAACAAACAACGTTTTAATGTTCTATACAAAGAACATATATTTTAATATACCTTCTTGGATTTCTTTTTCCCCTGGTTTCACTTTAAACCCCTAACTGCTATACGAGTAAATCATCTAACAATGTTTCCTTTATTTATTATTGTCAGGACTAACATATGTTGTGTTCAATGGACAGACATGATGGGATACTTTAGTTTCCATATCGCTTATTAAGCTGAAAAATCTTCTGATTCCAGTCACTAAACAATTTCCCAAAGCATCTCTTATTAGGTGAAAAAAGGCACATTTATGTATTTTTTATTCTGAAGTATTGAAAATGTTTTTGTTTTTATGAAACAATGTGTGAGGCATCAGAAGGAAGGGAGGCAGTCACGTACCTTGAACCACTTCTCATACACCACCTTGCTGGTGTTGAATGTCCCCATGGTGTCTATCTCCATGACAGTTTTGAAAGCATTAAAGGAGAGTGCAGAAGCAGGGCAGAGGAAGTTTCCAGCAGCATCTGTGTTAAGTAACATTTTTTTTACTGTCAGAATAAAGTATTTTTAGGTCTTTTAACAATAAACTAACAGAACATCACATTGCTTTGCTTAAATGTTCAGGTTAACTATAAATTTAGGAATGCAGAAATGAAATTGATAAAGATTGTGCTGCATTGGCACCCCTCATGATGTGCTATTTGGATATTTTTATTTGGTGGGAAGATGCCACAATAAGAAATGTTTTAGTAAATGTTTACAACCATCCAACAAGTAAAGTTTCTTTGTTTGTTTAAATCAGATCAAGGTTGTTTTTTTCCCTCATGCATACCCTAATCTTCACCTTTGTCAATTTATTAAACAGGTGTTTTGTACATCAATCCCCTGATGTGCACCGATGCTAATGGTTGGTTTCAGTTGTCACCTACTCTGGATCTACTTTTTCTCCATACAATTATGATTTTTGCACTGTTTTTCAACCAGCTCCTGTTTTTCTTTTCTTTTTAAAGAATTAAAATTATTTGTATGTGAACAGGTCTTTTTTTTAATTAATACATTACATTATATTTTTGTCCTTTTCTGAAATAAAATTTTCTCTTCTAGTGTTTCACTTAACTTTTAAAATATTGTTCTTAAGCCCTTGAACCCTACGGACTCACCGGCGGGTCCAGCTGCTACATGACCTCGTAATTTTACCAAACCCCCAGTATTGATGTAAAAAACATATTTGGTACAGTTTGGTGACATTTATGGATAAATGTGCCAAAATGGCCTCTCCGCCTAAGAAATTTCTCACTAATACCATTCTAAAATAAATATGATTCATCTGATTGAGTCCAAATTTGGTATATTTTTACACAACATTTAGATTGGAAAGTCTGTACTACTTTTTTGTGCTATAAATAATATTTTGGTAGTGTTTTGCAATGTTTATTTCAAAGAAAATTTTGGCGAGGTTCAAAAAATGCAAAATATTTTGTATTTTGTCCCTAATATTTCAGGCAGGGTCAAAGCTACAATGGTGCTGACACCAGAAAACCATTCTATGACATCTGACCTTTACAGACGTACCAAAAGTTTCTTCTTAAATCTAATAGCTTTGAGGCTATAAGTTATTTACTTTTGTGTGTTTTTGTCAGGCAGAAATTTATTTATACCCCCTTAGGGTGTAAGAGGTTAAGTCCCTTGTCTACTTATGTTTGCTACTACCTAATCCCCAGTGGCACAAGCTGCATGCTTAATAGTTTTTTTCTTTACAAACATGATCAGAGACAGAGGGCAGCTTATTTTTACCTTTAAAGTAGAAGGTCAAGATGTGCAAATACACACATTGATCTTTATTAGTCAGAAAATTGCTACTAGTACCTAAAAGTTCCCGTATCTGCACTTTAAAAAGTCCTAAGTAACTGGGACTATGAAAAACTGAGCTGGATCTTGTGAAGACATGAAGGAAAAATGTGTAGTCCAAAGCTCACTGCTGGAGAACTGCAGGTCGGAGTGGTATCATGGGATCATTGAGTCTAAACAACCATTAGACCTTAATGGTTAGTTTTATTAACAACCAACAAGAAAATGTTCAGTCCCACTGCTATAAATGTTTACATTCATAAACCAGGAAATAAATATATATAAACCAGATGTAAATCAAATAAGAAACTTCTATGAGTTAGAGTAATAAGAGAGGACTCGGGATGATAGGGAGAGATTGTGAAAAGAGGGCTGGTCAAAGATCCCTCTCTCTATGCTCTAACCTGCTAAAACAAGAACAATAAAAGTTTTCCTTTTACCACAATCGGGTTAAACATGAGATTAGGAGTTGACTCTTACTGTGGCAAGTTTCTTTTGTTAAAAAGCAAGTATTTTTTTACTATGAACTAATAAAAATTTATAAAATTTTATTTAAACAATAGTCTTGTGATTATGTAAGTCTTTTGAGGTAACAAAGGTATATTAATGATAGAAGATAGAGGTTCAGATTGGGAAAAATAGGCAAACAAAAACTGTTCAGATGTAAGTTAAGTTAATTTAAGTGCAAAAAGAGGGAGAGGGGGGTATGAAAAATAAGATTTACTTCTCCATACCTCTTTTCAGACAATTTAGATTAATCAATGTCAGTTCTCCTGCTGTATATACCAACAGGTTTTGTTTATATTTATGTTTAGGTGAATTAAGTAAGTTTGGAAATTGGTTTTTTGTTTGGTTTTATGTTCAATCCATTTATTGTTGTTTGTCAAATTGTCTAAAATAAATTCCTTTTCATAACTTATTCTCATTTCTTAGTGAACTAGCTGCACTGCATTAAGATTTGATCAACTTTTGGAAATCTAAGTGGATCCGTCACAATAAGGCAATGCAGGATAAGTTACGAACTGTTGATCAGGACGTCTAAGCGGCCGAACTCTTTCAGCGTCTCATCCACAGCTGCTATGATGCTCTCCGGCTGCCTCACGTCGATACGCAGAGGGAGGCAACGTCGTCCTGACGCAGCCGACAGCTTTACCGCTGCCTAGAAACACATTTTTATCTATTTAACACAAAGCTTTTGGCCTATAGATAAAATTCAAGCAGAAATGTGCAAAGTAGAAGAAAACCTCTTTTAGCTTGTCCAGGTTTCTGCTGGCAATCACTGTGTCACAACCATGTCTGTAAGAAGAAAGAAAATAACTTATTGAGACATTGAAGAAACAAATGAGAAAGCACGATATACTGTGAGGACTTTAGTCCTTCACCTCATAAAGATCTCAGCTATACGAAGTCCGATTCCAGATCCGCCTCCTGTGATGAAAGCCACTTGATCTCTAAAACAGAAAACCGACTCTCCATCAGATGGTTTAACAAAACTTCAGCATCTTTCTGAGTGAAGCAACACAATCAGGACAGTTAACTGCACATTTCAGAAGCTTACTTGAGTAAATCCGGACTGTAGATGTGTGAGTAGGAAGCCAAGCAGTCATCTGAGCTCACATCTTCAGGCAGCTCCTCTCTTTTTCTGAGCTCTGCCATGCTGCTGAAAACAGAGAGAATCTTAACTCATCTCATTAGATGCAAAATCCAGGAGATACAGAAGCTTTCAAAGTATTCGCACCACTCTCAATATTTCATATGTTACAAAATGTTTTAAGATTTTATCCTATAAGATTTTTTATGGAGGAAAGAGTTGGGCATTTATCATATCCTTTAGTCATGATAAGTTTCTACACAGAATAAGAAATTTGATTAATTAGAATCAATCCATCCATTTTGTTCCGCATTATCCGGGGCCGAGTCGCGGAGGCAGCAGTCTAAGCAGAGATGCCCAGACTTCCCGATCCACACACACCTCCTCCAGCTGTTCTGGGGCGACCCTGGGGCGCCACCAGGCCAGCTCAGAGACATAGTCCCTCCAGCGTGTTCTGGGCCTTGCACAAGGCCTCCTCCCAATGGGACATGCCTGGAACACCTCCTGAGGGAGGCGACCAGGAGGCATCCGGAACAGATGCCCGACCCACCTCAGCTGGCTCCTTTCAACGTGGAGAAGCAATTAGAATCCATGATGAGTAAAAACTCCACAATCTGGGGGAATGGTCAGCTTGTTTTAACGATGCTTAAAAGGGGTTATTATGAGATGCTTAGTGATATAAATTAAACTTATTTATTTACCGGTTGTCCTGAAGAAGCTGTATTTCAATGTGTATATTCTTTAAGAGTAATATTTGTGATTGCAGGGCTACGATTGCTGTGGTAAGCAGTCACAGCCACACAGTTACCTAAGAATCTCTGTAAATAAGTTGTTTTTTTATAGTGAGATTTATATCCCCCTTCCAATTATTTGGCTTCAGGATAGAGAGCTGAAGAGCAGCTCCATCTCACTATGGAGCTGAGTCCGACGTGGTTTTTAGTCGTACAGTGTGAGCAGGTAGATCCCATGAGAGCGTCCGGCCAAATATACACTCACCGGCCACTTTATTAGGTACACCTGTCCAACTGCTCGTTAACACTTAATTTCTAAGCAGCCAATCACATGGCAGCAACTCAGTGCATTTAGGCATGTAGACATGGTCAAGACAATCTCCTGCAGTTCAAACCGAGCATCAGTATGGGGAAGAAAGGTGATTTGAGTGACTTTGAACGTGGCATGATTGTTGGTGCCAGAAGGGCTGGTCTGAGTATTTCAGAAACTGCTGATCTACTGGGATTTTCACGCACAACCATCTCTAGGGTTTACAGAGAATGGTCCGAAAAAGAAAAAACATCCAGTGAGCGGCAGTTCTGTGGGCGGAAATGCCTTGTTGATGCCAGAGGTCAGAGGAGAATGGCCAGACTGGTTGGAGCTGATAGAAGGGCAACAGTGACTCAAATAATCACCCGTTAAAACCAAGGTGGGCAGAAGAGCATCTCTGAACGCTCAGTACGTCGAACTTTGAGGCAGATGGGCTACAGCAGCAGAAGACCACACCGGGTGCCACTCCTTTCAGCTAAGAACAGGAAACTGAGGCTACAATTTGCACAAGTTCATCGAAATTGGACAAGATTGGAAAAACGTTGCCTGGTCTGATGAGTCTCGATTTCTGCTGCGACATTCGGATGGTAGGGTCAGAATTTGGCGTCTACAACATGAAAGCATGGATCCATCCTGCCTTGTATCAACGGTTCAGGCTGGTGGTGGTGGTGTCATGGTGTGGGGAATATTTTCTTGGCACTCTTTGGGCCCCTTGATACCAATTGAGCATCGTTGCAATGCCACAGCCTACCTGAGTATTGTTGCTGACCATGTCCATCCCTTTATGACCACAATGTACCCAACTTCTGATGCTACTTTCAGCAGGATAATGCGCCATGTCATAAAGCTGGAATCATCTCAGACTGGTTTCTTGAACATGACAATGAGTTCACTGTACTCAAATGGCCTCCACAGTCACCAGATCTCAATCCAATAGAGCATCTTTGGGATGTGGTGGAACGGGAGATTTGCATCATGGATGTGCAGCCGACAAATCTGCGGCAACTGTGTGATGCCATCATGTCAATATGGACCAAACTCCCTGAGGAATGCTTCCAGCACCTTGGTTAATCTATGCCACGAAGAATTGAGGCAGTTCTGAAGGCAAAAGGGGGTCCAACCCGTTACTAGCATGGGGTACCTAATAAAGTGGCCGGTGAGTGTAAATCGTGAGTTGTGAGCTCACACTGTACGACTAAACCCTGCGGTTTAATCGTACAGTGTGGTTTAGTCGGTGTGAAGGTAGCATAAGGGTGACCATGGCCACCCCTGGCTCCTCATCTAGCTCCGCCCCTGGTGGCACTTGCTTAAAGGCATTTAGGGAGCTGTGGTTTCAGGGATCAGAGCATAGATTTAGATGATAGAATGGTTCGGTCAATGTTCAGACCTAAATCCAACTGGTAATCTGTGCTAAGATTAGAAAAAAGTAGAACACAGCAAAGAAAAAGAAAAAAATGAGTAAAAGAAAAACAAAAATAACAATGAAATACACATAAAAAAATTAAAATTGTGTGCATCACCTTAAAATCAGCAACAAATCACAGATGTTTTGTGAGAAAATGTGGAAAAGATTTAAAGGGAGAACAATTTGCTGAGGCATTTTATGTCTGTTATTGTATGTAAAGAAGAAAAACCACCAGATCGAACCAATCATTGCAGCAGTTTATCTCCACTGAGAGCTTTTTGTGTAAAAATGTCACATTAAAAGCTGAAATCAACATATTCAAACTCACACAGCTGCTTTCGGTCCAGTCGTTTCTGTCGGTTTAGTTATTGAAGGAAATACGTGAAACTCTTTTGCTTGTTTTCGGCTTCCAAACAAGCTTTTTTTATTTTTTCTTAAGTAAATTTAAACAGAACTAAAGCACAACTTGGTCACAAAAAACCTTCACAAAGTCAGACCTCAGGCTCTGCAGGAGCTCCTTCACAACATGGACCTTGGACGTGTTTTCACAGTCTTCCTACTAATGCATTGTGGGTAATGAAGTTTTTTCTTTATATTCATAGATGCGTTGATATAACTCAAGCTGATATGTTAAATTGCGTCTAAAACTAAAAAAACAACCACAAAAAATACAAAATAACGTCAACTAACGCTTGTTAGCATAAATTATTTAAAAAACTGAAACAATCCAGCAGAAATACAATTAATAATCATTAAAAATGAAGATTTTTTGGACATTTAGGTGTATCTAGTTGATTTAAAACCAAATGAAAAACAATACACTGTGTGTTTCTACTAAAGAAAAAAAGATTATACGTGAATCATTAGAAAAACAATTTATTTATTTATTTTTTATTACAGAATTGTCTCAGTATTTGTTTTGGGCCTTTTTTTTTTTTACACAAATTACTGGAAGAATGCAGGGCAGTATAGGGTTTATTAGCCTGTGGTTCTGCTGAAGTGTAATAGAACCCCTAGCTGTCTTAAAAATGGACTTGATGTTGTCTGGATTTTTGAATCTGCTGTTTGTTATCTTTCTTTTGACAAAACCTCATAGATTCCCTATGGAGTTAATGTCAAGCCAAGATACAGCGATTTCCTGATACAGTGATTTTTGAACATGGTTCCACTAATCATCATGGACAATGGAGACGTCATACTGCAGCTGATGAAATTCGGATGTGACAGCTGTAGCTCATCCACCTATATGTGCGGTCGCTCTTGAAGCCCCTGAATTTGCTTTGCTTCTTAAACCTCACAATGATGTATTTTATCCATGCACCTTTTTTTCCCCTATTTTCCTCCAGAGAATGACTTAATAGGACGAACTTGTGAAAAATGCATGCAATTTCTTGCAGCGATTATAGATTTAAAAAGTGTTTCGTCTGAATTATTCAGAGAGCTGCTGTGAGATTGAGTGTGAAAATATTGCCATGTCCAGATGTAAGAAGCTGTCAAAAGCATTTATAGGATAAACTAATTATTTTAAATGTATTCATTTTGTTTATTAGTTAAATTGCATTGAATAGTTTAAAGGTTCTGGAGTTGATTATCATGGTCAAATATTATAAAAATATTATAACCTGATTAGAATGGTACATCTCTGAGATAACCTTTACCTGTCCTGTCACATTAAATTAGGTCTGTGGAAACTGTTGAACCTTCTGCTGAATTTGTAATAAAACAGCAAAATGAGGCAAAACTGAATCATGTTTATTGCTGAAAAATATTAGAATAAAGTTACATTGTATCATCAAACAAATCACAAAAACACTGGGTCGATGGAAGAAAGCAAACTTAGTAACAGTGTCCTCCATCTCCAGTAATAACCAGCTTCCGTCATGGCACCAGAGAGGGTCTCCACCTGTAAACCGACACCAAACCAAACAATTCTGAGTTTACAGTTACCCGGTCGATGCCCATCAGTCTGCATTAGTGCAATGATCCATATTGATCTGTGCTTTGGGAGTTACCACTGGGAGGAAAAAAAAATTGCTCCATGCAATGGATATCTGGGATAATCTGTTCAAGGATTTGAGCAGCTGCATGTCTGAGAGGTTCTGGGTTGGAAGATGAGTGCCTCTGTAAATGGATTTATTCTATTAAAATTCATCCTGAGCAGAAGTGCTCATCAGTTTGTGCACTTTAAGGTCTTGAACTCAGACAGATTTGTTGGACAGCCTCTCTCCATGTTAGACGTCCATTTCTTTAGCCTTTTTAAGTCTCCTTTGCCCCCTATCTGCCATGATGGATTTCACAGTCAGTCATCATCAGATGCATGTTGAATAGCCCACTTAAATAATTATCTAAAAAAATGATCAAAGTAAAAAGGCATGTCATTTAAACCAAAAAAAAGGAAAACAAATTTGGCATTTAAAGTTTCATGCAATCTATTTCCAAGTATGAGAAATTAATGTTTTGCAGACAGGTGGCGCTGTAGGCCAACGTTATTTTATTGAATCTGTACAGAAACTGGCTTTGCATGCAAATATAGGACAGAATGAGACTCTGAAACAAAATATTCACCTTCTTTAAGTTTGTTCAGACACATTTATTTGAAGCAGAAACCTTTATACTAATATAATCTAAACCAGGGGTCTACAATCTGCGGCTCCAGAGCTGCATGTGGCCCTTTGGACCCTCTACACTGGCTCTTAAAAGTGGCTAAAAAAATTATATAAACAACTCATTAATGTACTGTGATAACAAACACCAGTCTTAGAAGCTTTGTAAATATTTTAATTGAATTTTCATCACAGAATGACATTAAAAGAACCACAAATATGTTTTAGAGCTATTTGCCTTTTAATTAGCTTTGAACTTGTTTATATATATATATATATATATATATATATATATATATATATATATATATATATATTTATTACATCAAATAATCCCTATAGAAGAAAAATGGAAACAGATTTCTTTTGGCAGATATTTATTTACAATAGGCTGTTTTTATTAAAATGTCCTGTAAAACATTACGTCTCTAAATGACTTTTACCGGACTCAGGACAAAATGACTCTTTGGTGGTGAATAGGTTGCAGACTCATGGTCTGATTGATGATTTAATGAGAGCAATAAAAAATAATAATAAAATAAAATGAAATGTGAGTTATGCTTCAGTGGCGTGAGTTAACTGCAGATATATACACTAATGGTGTAAGATATCTCAATTTGTGTAATTCCTTAGAAAGGAAAATATATATAAATATATAAATAAGACCTCTCCACCCTTTGTAGTCCTGTTTAATACACAAAAATATATAAATGAAAGAGAAAACTGTAGTACAATAATACTACCAATGCTTTAGTAAAAATTGTCTATTGTTCATGGAGGTGACAATGTGGTCAGACGTAGCCTCAAACAGAAGCGCATGATGCAATCCTCTGCATAAAAGAGGCAAAAATGTTACAAAAATCCAGCTGCTAAAATTTGAACGGTTCACAGATTCAGTTACTGAGACTTTCAGCGCTGATAACAGAAAATATGGGAAGATGCTGAAGGCAGCAACTTTACATATATATAAAACCTCTAGTTTCATACCAACACTTTACACTAGAGAGTCCTTCATACAGTGATTGGAGGAGCAGTAGGACACTTGAGGATAAGGTGCCCTGCTCAGCTGCACACCAAGATGTGGCAGCAGGAGGCTACAATCTAAACAGCTAAAAAGACATCTAGTAATGTTTACCTCTGGGCCACTGTCGCTCATACATGTGCAAAAAAGGAGGTACATGTCATATAAACCCTTTTTCCCACTGTTGGGAGTGTTTAGTTCATCACAAACTCTTCCATATTTGGATTGAGGGATTTTTTGTTTTAGATTTGTTGATCAATTTAAATCACATTAAGAATGAGATCATTGATATCTTTGAGCAACAAGGTGTTCTTCTATTGCATACAAATCCACCCTTCTTCCCATGATAAGATATCTGGCTTTTATTTCCTTATAAAACCAAAATGTCTTTATTTAATAAACGTTTCATAAGCAGAGTCAGTTTTTACCAGCTTTATGCTTTATCCAAAGTGATCCTTCACTGATCAATTCTCTGCTACAAAAAGATTGAGAAAACACAATCAGAGGAAGTACTGATCTAAATCCCTGAGTTTACGTCTGGAATCAACATTGGATTGTTTTTGTCTTTTTATTGAGTTTATATGTCCAAGTATTTTAAGGATTCCTTCTGTGAAACAAAGGGCCATCTTTACACACAGATATTAACATCCTCAGAGAGAAAAGTGTTCATATGTCACAAAGTGGGTCCAGATCGATTATCCCCTGAAGCTGAAGCAGAACTAAGATCCAACAGTACTGACGTCTTGCTCTAGTTTCTGCCCCAGTGTCTGTGCTGAATCTGTCAGCCCGGCTTTGCTTTGTCTGTCCACCGATGGCTTTGCCTCGCATGGCTGTCCACCGTCCTGCAGGCCCACCAGCCTGCTGCTGACCTCCCACAACCTACGAGCCGCCTCATCATCGAGGGCCTGGGGTGCCGGTTCCTTTTCAGTCATCACATCGTAGTACTGCCCCGTCACACCCTCCATTTCCTCGGCCACGGCCAGAAAGACGCTGGGCTGAGCGCCCAGCTCTGGACTCTTTACCAGCAAAGAGAAGAAGGGGCCTGTGAAGGACATCAGAGGGTTACAATCACTTCAATAGTATCCAAACACCCTTTAGCTTTTCAAATCTTTACCTTAAAGTTACAAATGATAGCAGATTTTATTAGAATTGGACACAGTTTAACACAAAGTGGTTCAGACTTGTAAAGAAGTAAAATATATTTTTTTAATCTCCTTGCAGATAGTAGATTATCCTTAAACGGAAAATAAAAAAGGCCCATATTAACGTAGGAGGGACTGCAAAGAGCAACGGCTGAGGCAGCGTGATTCAGCGACAGGAAAACCAATAA